ACACACACACACACACACACACACACATACACACACACACACACACACACACACACACACACACACACAAATAAAAATGTGGTTTCTTTGAGTTCATTATTTGATAAGTGTCTTATTTCAAAACGATGTCACACAAATGTTTGGTACTTTGTGCAGAGTTCTTATGGTTTCTCTTTGTCAGTCTCGACAGGGGATTAAAAGCATTTATGTTTTTGAAGGATTCAAACACACTTTTTGCGACCTATACTCACGTATAAGAATTTTGGAAAAAACCCATTGCACTTTTAACTCCAATCTCTGGACTCAAGATCATTCACTTTTCGCTCACACTGGACTCGGCATTTGCGAATAAACACCGTCTTATTGTTTTACTGATCGGATTTCGGATTATTCACTTTGCGCTCATATCAAAGATCGTTCATAACAAGACAGTTCACTTGGCCAAAAAAGTGTCCGCGGAAGTCCGCGCATTGCTTCAGATGGCGCAGCAGTCTTTTGTTTTGAAGCTGTCTTTCGTTTCTCCAGAAGAGGAATAGGAATAGCACAGTTTGTTGGTTTCACTTATTGGTTTTTTTTCACTTTTTGGAAGCTGATGTTTCTAGAGGGTCGGGGAGAGACAGCAACCTGCGTGGAAAATCCAGACGAATATCCAACATGCTGTTAACTGGCACGAGCAGCAGGCAGACCCTTTCATGGATCCAGGATAGGAGGGAGGAGCAATTATGGCATTGTGCCGCCTGCAATGGTGCCAATTTTTCAACCAAGTAAAGAAACCAAATGTAAAGTACTTATTGTTTTTCGCACAAGTAGGGTAACACTGTTCGCAAAATCCGCGCTTTTTGGAAGAGGGTACCACCGGATTTTGAGAACACTTTTTTGATTGACTGAAAGAGAGGAGTGAACTATCTTGTTATGTACGATCTTTGCTCATATTGAAGACGACACATGCGAATAAACACTGATTGTTTCACTTATTTCAATTTCCCAACTCGCGTGTAGGGCCTATTGTTGATTCTGCCTACTCTCTAGATCTACGCCCATGGGGGAATCGAGTGAAAGCATCAGCGACTTGCAAGCTGTATAGATCAGTTCACACACCATTGTTATTTTTTTTTATATCAACATACGCTTACATATCGCTTTCGCATTCATAATAATATCTACATTTGAATTCTATTTTTGGTGAGTAATCCACATACAGACAAATATTCTCTTGCATGAACAATAGTTTCAAAAGTAATTAAAAGATGTATACATGTATCCGATTACAAAAATAAAATATAATAAGACGAAACAAAAATAAATAAATAAATAAGCCTGTCACGGGGTTATCAGTTTCACCAATAGGGTGTTGACCCTGAAACCGAATTCCGAATGTAAGCATCAGATCTTTCCACGCTCATATCACATTTTTTTGGGTGTCAAACGGTTGACATATAATAACTTTAATGCTCATAGATCTAGGTCTGATCCAGATATAGGTTGTACGCACCACACGAGTGTATTATCGTTCTATTGTTATTGTAGTATAGTTAGTAGTAGTAGTAGTAGTAGTAGTAGTAGTAGTAGTAGTAGTAGTAGTAGTAGTAGTAGTAGTAGTAGTAGTAGTAGTAGTAGT